TTGTCTGTCTTTCCAGTGAGCACACATGCCCTATAGCAAAAGCCTCTCCAAAATAAAATAAAATAAGCCTTCTATGTGTATATGAGACATGAATGAATTCTGTGTTTAGAGTTGGTTCCCATCACCAAAATATCTTATTATTTACAAATATTCCAAAATCCAAAAAATACTCCCAAATCTGAAACTCTTCTGGTTCCAAGCATTTCAGATAAAGGATATTCAACCTGTGTCTAAAGTCTGTAGTTTATTCGCATTTCCCTGATTTCCCCCAAATCCTGTTCCAGGACTCCCTCTGCGATGCCACATTCTGTTTAGTTATCGTGACTCCCTAGCTCCTCTGGCTGCAGTGGTTTCTCGGAAGTGGCCCAGCCTCGGTGTTGTAATCGTGGTGCAGTTTCTCGGACTTCCCATGCTTTGATGCTGCTGCTTTTTCATAATTATGACATACACTTAGGGTCACATAGCACATCCTCTTCCGCCCTGCCTCTGCCTCTCACTCCAGGGTCATCTGTTAAGAGGCCGAAGCAGCTGTAGACCTCAGAACTTCTAAGAACCCTGGTTTGTTTAAAACCTTGGCCTCTGAATATGAGGTCTTTGGCGACCAAAATAGTCAAAGCTAAAATGGCAAAGTCACTAGGCTGACTGTTCTGCCTATATATCATCCATTCACTCATTCATTCATTCATTCAAGACTTGCTAGCGACTATCATACGCCTGCATTATGGTCTGTGCTGGGGTTGCAGCAGGGCACAAGTAGGTCTGTGGTCCTTCCTTCTTGGAGCCCACATTGAGCCAAAAGATAGATGAAGATAGCACTAGACAGAGACAAAGCTGGGGAGAGCAGCACAGTAAGTTTTACCCAAGATGGAGTCCCAGTGGCTAAGTGTTCACAAAGAGCAGCACATTAGGACTTCCAACCACTATGGAGAAGGGCAAGTTTCTATTTGCTAATTACATTGTAGCAAGGAGCGCTGTGGTCTGCTGTGCCCACAAAGAATGGCGTAATAAATCACCTAGACTACCACATAACTCTTTTCTTTTTTTGAAGAGATTTTTGCTATAGGGTGCCTGCGCTAGCTGGACAAAGAAAGACAGAAAGACGAGTGAGAAATCATCCGCCCCAGTGGGTGGGGGGCGGGTAGCCACACTGCAGTCCCTTCTCCTCCACTCTCCTCTCTGGATCTTGGGCACACGTGCACACGTGCCTGACATGAGTTTTAAGCTGCTGGGTCTGGGACTCGAACCATGGGCAACTATGTAGGAGTCTAGTGACAGAACCATTATGCCATCTGCTGGTCCTCCATGTAACTCTTTTCTAAAACCCAGTTCCTTATCAGAGAGCTGGCCCATTACTAGAGAAAACCCCCGGGGACTCCTCCCTGCTTGGGAGTGGTTCTTCCTTCCCTCTTTCCGTCAAGTCCACTTTGCTATCCTGTGTCATCTCTAATTCTTCCTGGGCCTAGGGCAGGAACCTGGACACCGTGTGGCCATGAATCCGATATCCACGTCCACATTCCAGTCAGGGGCAGAGGAAACGAGCTGACGTATAAAGTGAACATGTCCACGATGGTGCTACCAAGATCAAAGGATGGGAGGCGGCAGGAGAAGGGACGCATGTAGAGAGGGCAGCCGAGAGTGCTCACGTCAGGAGGAAAGTTGGGGACGGGGATGAGGCGGAGAAAGCAGTACGTGCAAAGGCCCTGAGGAAGAAAGAACAGGCAGGGCGTGGGGCTGCTGCAAGCTGGAGCAGAGGCAGCTCCAAGACGAAGTTGGATGGGTAGCCATGAGCCAAATCCAGGCCTTGCGGACTGAGAACAAGCATGCGCGAAGAGCGAACATGAGACGGAAAGACAAAGATGGGATGGACCAGGACGATGATGTGATCCGGTTTGGAAGAACACCGTGGCTGCTATGTGGTGGGTTGGAAGGGTCAGGGGTGACAGTGGAGCGGCTGGTACAAAACTCCTATGATAACCTTGCTTGAGCAGGATTGAGTCTGCAGCCCAAGGTCAGGGATTGAGAAACATGTGTAATTTATTAGCATGAAGATGGTCTTGAGATCCACAAGAACTACAGAGAGCGCTGAACCAAACAACCACTCGCTTTGTGGCACATGCCTTTCTTAGGGTTCTGGAACTCGGAAGTCTGAGATCAGTTTCAAGGTGTTGGCAAGGCTGAACTCTCTGGAGTTTTTAGAGGAGGAGGCATTCCCCTGCCTTTTCCAGCTTCTAGAGTTGCAGTTCATTCCTTGGCTCCTGGCCCCTTTCTCCATCTGCAAGCCAAGGTCAGAGCATCTTGCTTCTTCTGTAGCAAAATCTTGGGCTGCCTCTTTTATAGGGATACTTTTGGCTCCTGGCCCCTTTCTCCATCTGCAAGCCAAGGTCAGAGCATCTTGCTTCTTCTGTAGCAAAATCTCCGCCTGCCTCTTTTATAGGGATACTTTTGGTTACATTTCGAGCCAATGTGAATCATCCAGGATAAACTCCCCATCTCAAGATCCTTCACTTAATCAGGCCTGCAACATGTCTTTTGCACGTAACCTAACAGTCATAGATTAAGGGATTAGCACGTGAGAGCTTTGAGGACATTATTAAGACTATCACAGAGGGTAAAGAGAGGAAGGACCCAGTCTCATGGTCGGAGGCATGCTAGTATTTCGGTCAAAGAAGGAACTAACTAAAGAGATTGCAAAATAACAACTGAGGAGGGAGGAAGGCTGGGAGAGTCCATTTACAGAGCCCAGGGACTCGACAGCGTCCAGAGGAAGGAACTGCCAACTGATGCTGAGACACCGAGTGCCGCAAAGATAGAGGGGAACCCCTGGGAATGGCATCACGGTTGGTGACTGTGACAATACCAGACAGGGGCATGAGGGGCTGGGCAAGTGGAGTGCAAGTGACTGGGACAGGCTGAGGAGTGCACGGGGTGGAGGGGGTACAGGCAGCAAATGGAGGTAACGCTTTATGATCTGTCAAGAGAGAAACTGGTTTGCATGGAGTTAGAGTTAAGGAAGACGGCTCTCGGCTTTCCATGACTTTATAGAATGACACAGGAGGACAAACTAATAACCACAGCAGTAAAGTCTGAAAAAGCAAGGGTGTCGCCCGGAGCCGAGGGGAGGAGGGGCTGGCCCTGCTAGGAGCAGGGACATCTTTTCCGTCTAAGAGAAGGAGCAGGTGAGGGTAAATGAAGGTAAGGCTGGCGTTCCCGGAAGCACGAGGCTGAGGATGAGGGAATGTGGTCCATTTGAGAAAACAACAAAAAGTCCATTTATTTGCACAAATGTCATTTTGCTTTACTTCCTTTAGTACACTTAAGTGGCCTAGTCAAACTGGTTAAATATCTAAAAGATAATTCTCCTTTACCCCTTCCCATTTAGTGATAGGTAATTCTGCATAAAAGAAAAACATGCAAATAGCCATCTTATGTGAGACTTTATTAAAAAGAGAAATGGTGCAATCAACTACTTTGTGGTTTTGTTTTCATTAAAAAAATAAACTGAAAAGGAAAAAATAAAACTTAACGATGGAATGTTTTGTTGTCTTGCTAAGGGCGGGTAATAAATAAGGCGTTACCAGCACTGTCCTATGTAGTCATGCAGCCTGCACCTGCGTGAGCACTGTCAAGCACCTAGTACAAAACCACAGTGGCAGTGGCAGCAGGCTGGGATTCAAAATCTTTTGGGTGACCTGTCTGAGATAAATTAAAGCAAACTATGAACAGAATGATTAGCATTTGCATCCTATTTTATGTAAGACTATAGCTTCTATCAAATCACCAGTTCCCCCATCACCAAGATAAGAAAGTAGGAAAGATCCCTCCACCAAAGTATTCATCGTGTCCTATTCGTTCACCTGGATGTTCAAAATGATCCACCGCTAAGACAGAGGTGCTGCTCGGCATCCCAGGCATCCTGCCCTGAGTTAAGGGCAGTTAGTTTCTCAGGCTCATTAGAAACAGTGTTGCTTTGTCAGTCTGACACCGAATGTCTAAGCATACAGAGAGTGAGGCTTGCCTTCCAATGGATTTAGCTGTTTGATATTTTATTTTTACATTTGAGCCTTGGAAACTGTAAGACCTATCTTTAAAGCTAATTTGATGGTTTAAAAACTCACTGACTTTTTCTCTAGCCTTCCCTTTCCTTTCTTTCTTTCTTTCTTTCTTTCTTTCTTTCTTTCTTTCTTTCTTTCTTTCTTTCTTTCTTTCTTTCTTTCTTTCTTTCTTTTTTTTTTCCTTCTCCCACACAAGGTCTGTCTCTAAGAGGCATGGGATCTAGGATTTTGAAAGACCCCCTTCTCTTCGCAGCCAGTCAGCTGCACTGAGGCATTCTCCCTGGCGTTTCAGTGATGAGACTATTACTATTTCATAGAAGATGGAGACTCGGAAAGGTTCCGCCTCACTAAATGAAAAGTCAGACTCAAACTTCAAGCCCAGACTCACCTTCTGCAGGGTTTCCTCCCTTCCTGAGAGGGGCGCTACCCTCTCGGGGCAGCTCTGACTCACGGGGGGAGGACCAAGCCTGTGAATCTGTTTTCCAGATCCCACAGTCTGATATATAAATACAGATTCCCTGAAATATAAATACTGATTCTCTAGCGCAGCTTTGAAAAATATGAAGGTCGCCATGGAAACATTGTCAAAAACATATAACATGAAGTGAATTGTAAACATTCAAGTGTTTCTGTAGGTTTGCATTATAACAGCAATTATATAAAAAAAAGCTTATAACTTTGCCTTTTATAACACACAGTGCACAGGATACTTCTACTAAAGGAGAAAGGCTAGGTGAGCTGGGTAAAGCCTCCCCCCAAAAAATCACTTGGTCCAATTCTCTCCACAGACACGGACTTCAGCACTTCCAAGAACTCCTTAGAAAGGCGTTTTCCCTGGAACGACTAAGGGAAGCCTCCACGTGACCGTGGTGGATGACCGGTGCCATCCCAGTGAGGCGTCTGAGCACTCTCTTTCTAGAAGCTACCCTGGAGGCTCTGGTGGTTAGCTCAGCACACTGCTTAACCTAAGGGTTATGGAAGATGGAGTGTAAAGTATCCTTCAGAGGCTCTCCCACTTCGGCCACCTCAGCCCGGGAACAGGCTATGAGCGGGCATTTCTCAGTCCCACCCCCTCTCCCATTTCTGTATTTATACCTGAGGATTATTCACAGCCCGTTTACAAATAAATAAATAAAAGCTAATTGCTCTGGGTGATGTTCCAGAGGATCAGAAGCCCAATCCACTCCCCGGTGTCATTCTTCCTTGGTGAACGATGCCTTGGTCCAGTCTACCTCTCGGCGGGGGGTGGAGCCTCACCCCTGCCTGCTGAGGAAGCCCGATGGCTCACAGAGCATCCGTGGGGAGCGCGCAGGACTGGACCTCCCGATAGGCCATCTGCTTCCTCACAGAGCGGAGACGGAGCGAGAGAGTCACGGTGGCAATCAGGAGGAGCAACCCGATGATGAAGAGGGTGACCAAGGCTGCCTTGGCTCCTCTGGGACCCAGGTTCTGGCCAAAGAAATAGAGCTCGTCCTGGCTGGGTTGTCCTGTGTGAAGGAAAAGGCAGGTATCAGGCCAGCTGTCCCCGAGGGATGAGACACTGGTGAACTCACAGGAACGGTGGTATTACCGTGCGAGGGCACCGTGGCCGGGCGGGACGCTGCTCCGGGAGACTTCGTGGAGTAAGGAACCCTGTTGTCTGAACAGAGAAGACAAGTAGATTGACTTCCACACAACGGAAGGGGAGTCTTTGCCTGGTGTGAGTCATTTCATCTCACCAGTGAGGATTCTTCTTACCGAAGTGTGTGCCTCCCTGCCCCATCCACCTGTTCTGCCTAGCCGTGAAGGGCCATCTCAAGCATCAGGCTTCCAGGAAACCCTGGCTCATACCCCGGTGCTACGGACTGTTCCCTCCTGCTGCTGCCACCAAACCCGTACGGCACATGTCATTTTCCAGCATAATGACACAGTTACATGTCTCTCTGACTTGACTCTGAGCTCCTTAGGGGCAGTAAGGCCTGCTGTGTGCAGCATCACTGGATGACTACAGTACCTATGTTCCGGAGGACCGTGTAGGTTGTCTCCATGCCAGCATGGATGTGGTCAGACACGTGACAGTGCAGCAGCCATGTCCCTGGGTGATCTGCGAACAGTTCGATGGTTTGGAATGTCCCAGGAAACAGATCATACACATCTTCACGGTAAGATTTATCTATCTGCGAAGATCAAAGGATACAGCTTGTGGGAATTTTTTGCTCAGCATTGCAAAAAGAAAAGGAAGATTTAAAACACAGTAAGCAGGAGGAAGGAAATGATAAAGGGGAGAATCAATAAAAACAAGAAAACAGACACGACAGACATAAAGCAAAGAAGCTTAAAGCTGTTTCCTTGAGCAGATCGATGCAATTTTTATAGTGGGCCCAGCTAAGCGGCATAGTGGTTAAAACAGTCGGATCCCACATGACCAATTGCACTGTTTGAGTCCTGGGCCAGACAGCTTGTAAAACACACCAGACACATGTGCCAAAAAGCCCAAGAGGAGAATGGAGAAGAAACTGCAGTGTGCTCATCCTCTCTGGGGTATGCTTTTTCACTTTCTCTCTCTCTCACCAGCGAGCACATGTACCCTATAGCAAAATTTAAAAACAAAACAAGGGGCTGGAAGATGGCATGGTGGTTAAGGGCACTCCCACATGGCCAACCATGGTTCAAGTCCCAGACCTGGTGGTTTTCTCTCTCTCTCTCTCCCCCCCTCCCTCTCTCTGGTCAAATTAAAATAAATAAATAAATGGGTAAAGTTAAATAAAATATTTCTTTTTAAAAAATAAGAAAAAACAAAAAACCCTTGTAGTAACCAGCTTCCCTGATGGCCCACAGTGAACTCACCTCCTGGTATTTATAACCACAAAACAAATCAGAGGTTGCCAGGTGTTAAGCACAAGAAAATGGTCGATGCTAAATGGCGCCATGGGGACATTTTAAAGGGCGACCAAAGTGTTCTATATTTTTATTGGTTTGGGTTTTAACAGCACAACCAAAGCAGCTGTTGAAAACACAGGGTAAATTTTAAGCAATGTACATTTTAATTTACTTTTTAAAAAGATACACTTTTAATGATTTTATGAATTTTATTCCATTTTATCATTCTAATATAATCTTTTAAATGTGGGCAGAAAAGGTCAAATTCTGAAAAATATCATAGGCATTTATAAAACAGCATAGGTTGATACTTGATATCTTTTTTTTTTCTTTTGGAGAGGTTTTTCCTATTGGGTGCGTGCGCTCACCAGAAAGACAGGCAGAAAGCGAGAAATCACCCCCCAGGGGGGTGGCCACACCGCAGTCCTTTCTCTTCCATTCTCATCTCAGGATCTTGGGCACGCACACTCACGCACCTAGCATGTGTTTAAGCCACCGGGTCCGAGACTTGAACCGCGATCGACTACCTGGGAGTCCAGCGACATAGCCATTATGCTAACTGCTGGTCCTGATACTTGATATCTTAAACAATGTTGAAATATACAAAGGGGGGCGGATATTCGTTGTTTTATTAAAGTTATTGTTTACTTCTGTGTAACCAGAAAATGATCCATTACAGTTTCTCCCACAGATCGGATGTGATTATTCTTTTCTATCTTCTCCCTTGTACATGACACTGAGAACAGCAGACAGACTATCTGGGCCCAATTTCTGGAGATTTTGATCAGCAGGTCTAGGGTGGGGCCTGATATCTGTTTTTCTTTGAATTTTTAAGAGTTTTTTTCTTAGGTTGTGTGCACCCACCAGTGAGAGACACAGAGACAGTGAGAAGTCTCAGGATTTGGGCCACACACGCACATGTGACTGGTGTGAGTTTCAAGTCACCAGGTCCAGGACTCAAACTGCAGTCAGCCAAGTGAGTCCAGCAATGTAACCATTAGACCACCTGCCTGTGCCCTTGCCATGTGATTTTTAAGTGTCCTAGCTGGTTCTGTTGTACAACCAATACCACCCCCGTGGCACAGCTTCATGACAGAGACCAGAAAGTCCCACGTGGGGCAGCCCCACTCACTAAGGGAAAAGTCACGACAAAATTTAAGGGCTCAAACCAGAGCTCAAAATATCTATTTCACTGGAGAGAGCTATCCTGATAGCTAATCACACAAAAAAGAAAGACAACGAACAGGAAGAATCAAGAAAAGGAACAAATCGTTTGTAACAATATCAGCAGCACAGTCCAGCCTGAGCAGAGTGATGGCCTTGGAATTATGAGAACTCGCCTCTGAGGCTCAGAGAGCTTTTCACAAGCACAGTAACATATACATACATACTTTAAAATATCTACCCGGGGAAAGGTATGATTGCACTGTTCTGTTCCATTCTCTTATATAAAGCGCCAACGCTCACGAGGTTTACTGCCAACAACTCTGATTTCCCAGTGGAAACATACTGAGTCTGTTCCGGAAGTCTTCCCCAAAGCATTTCCCTTACACTTACTTTGAAAAGAAAGCTCTCGGCGTGGTAATGGATGGTATGGATGTCCACTTCACTCCCTAATCCTAACAAATACCAGTTTGTCATTGAATCTTCATTCATTATGAGTCCATGAAGATTCCCAAAGATCTTTCCATTAATGGCTAAGAAGGTGAGAAGAAAATAGCTATGGTTAGCGAAAAGACACTCAATTCTTAATCTTGAAATGCTTCAAGACATGGGACTCACGAATATTTTCATCTACCTAGTAAACATGTAACACTCTCACTCACACTCACACTATTCTAGGTCCCAAATTCTTATTCTCAGGAAATCTTTATTCAATGAGAGAAATGGTTATTTATTTTTATAAAGCTGCATCTTGGGTGGTATTGTTTGCTATTTATTTATTCAGTATATTCTCTTTATAAAGTAGATTACTGGCTCATTGTTGAGCTGGCCAGATTTATACCATTCGACAGGTGAATGCATTAAGGCACAAGGAATTGGGCTTATATAAACCAAAATCAAATGGATTATAATTTTAAAAAATATTTCACTTTCTGGGAACTCATTTAAGCCTGGGTGCATCCCCAGGAGAGCTACACAAATGCAGAACTCCTAACCCTACGATGACCAGGGTGATCTGGCTTTGCATGATGATAACTCTTACTTCTCCACTTTTCTCTTTCTCTCTGTATTTATTGCCAGAGGGCGCATGGACTTTGCAGAAAGGGGGAGAGAGACAGAGAGAAGGTGGCACTCCTTGTACAGGATGGCCATGCCACAATTCTTTATTTCTCCCCTTTTGCGGGGGGGGGGGTGGGATTTGGGGCCTCTAAGCCCACATGCCCAGTGTGTTTCTTAATCCCTGAGAGTCAGGACTGGAACGGCACAGCCAGCCATGTGGGGTCCAGCTGTTTTATCCAGGCCACAGAGCTGGCCCTCTACTAACCTATTCTGTGCATCATGGCACCACCAAATGAGTTGCAGTCATTAAAAATAGAGCATATACTACAAAGCTTTGGAGAGAGGAAAGGAAAATTGGTAGGAGGAAGGTTGGCTGAATTGGAAATCAAGCTAATATATCTTTTTTTAATAAAGTATTTATTATTATTATTTAATTTGCTATAGGACACATGCGCTCCCCAGAGAGAGAGAGAGAGAGAGAGAGAGTGAGAGAAAGCAAGCCACCAGGTCTGGGACATGAACCGCAGTTGGCCATGTGGGAGTCCAGTACCTTAACTACCATGCCACTTGCTGGCCCCAAAGCTTGTGTATTCTAATCTATATTAACAATTAACTAGCTTTGGGACCTTGAGTGAGGCCTATCTTTTTGTACTTGAGGGAGTCTGAATGTGTCTACTCAAATACATCACTCCCACAAAAAAAAAAAAAATAAAAAAATAAAAAAATAAAAAAAAACTGCCTTACAGAATATAAAAATTAAATAATATTAAAAGAAATTTGGTGTTTCATTGTTCCACAGACAATTAAGCCAAGCTTTCAAATTTGATCAAACAGAAGTTACAATGTATTCTTACAGAAACATTAGGTTGTTGGAAAAGTCAGGATGTATTTTCTGTTTTTCTATGCAATGAATTATAGTTTTTTAAAAAAATAATTAATGCACAGTTTTGAAGTTAAGAGACCCCAGCAACCAGAGACAGATACCCCCTAACAGTTGGTCCAAAGCCTTTATAACTTTGCTACCAGCCAACCCATGGCTAGGCGAGTTAACGCTGAAAGAATGTTTTAGAGGATTTCTTCAGTCCAGGAGTCCCTGGGAAGCAGGAAAGACTCAGAGAGGGATGCTGGGGGCCTCCTGCAGTTAAGGGACATCTTTGAGCTTTATTCAACAACTGCCTCCTTTTTAAATCCCTGCTATACCATGCATTCTGTTGCTCTCCTCAAAATCATCAGTGTGCTTAAAGGTGCGTGGATCTTTATTGAGATACTTCTTAATATTGTCATCCAGATACCAGGATTCGTTCTCATTAAACACCAAGAACAAGAGTGCAAATTCATAATCGACATCACTCCTTCTTCCCTTTTCATTCAATACTCCTTCCCGGCATGTAATCAGAGGACCCATCAAACCACTGTATGTATCCTGAAAGAAAAATACGCCAAATTAGAGGAGCCAGTAAATAATAGTATTCTATTCTTAAAGGAGCTAAACCATGGACTAGAAATTGGTACCTCTCAGGACCAGCAAGTACCATGGTAGATAGGGCACTGGACTCCCACATAGCTGACCACGGCTCAAGTACCAGAGTCGGTGGCTTGAAAATCATGCTGGGAGTATGTGCATACATGCCTAAAATTCCAAGAGAACAGAGGAGAAGGGATTACAGCACGGCTGTTCCTTTGGAAAGAACAGAGGAGAAGGGATTACAGCATGGCTGTTCCTTTGGAAAGGGGGGGTTCTCACTCTCCTCTTTCTCTCTGTGTCTCAGAGAGAACAAGCACAAGCACAGTGTAGCAAAAACTAAAACAAACAAACAAACGAAAGAAAGAAAGAAAGAATGAATGAATGAATGAATGAAAAGAAGGAAGGAAGAAAAAAGAAGAGAAACTGGTACCTGTCTGATCTCTGGCTTACCCTACGTCCAGTCAACATGTTTCCAACCATCAGATTAATCTGCTCTCGACCATAGCTAAAGCCCCCAGTGATTTTTCTCGGCCTACAGAATAAAGTAAAAACTCCCAATGGTTTTTAAGTCCTTGCACGTGCTCACAGGCTCTCTGTCGCTTGCCTTTGGATCCCTGATGAAGCCAAATGGGACTCTCCACATTTACCACACACGCCTTCTACTTCCCTTTCTTCTACATTGGTCACAACGCTCTTTTTTCCTTGATTCTCTTTCTAAAACTTCCCATACTGCCTTGGACAGCCCACATTTCCTAGTTTTTCTTATAAGATCTGTGTACCAGAATCAGAGTTGTATTACTGGGTCATCCGAAAAGTTATAGCATATTTTTCTATGCAAAAAATGTGTCATGACTTTTCTGACAATCCAATAGTTACAAGTGTGGGCACATATTGTTTTCTCCACAAAGTTATAAGTTTCTTCAAGACAGGAATATTGGGACCAGCAGTTAGCGTAATGGCTATGTCGCTGGACTCCCACACAGTCGACCGTGGTTCGCGTCCTGGACCCGGTGGCTTAAAACTCACGCCGGGTGTGTGTGCGTGTGTGCCCAAGATCCCGAGAAGGGAATGGAGGAGAAGGGATTGTGGCGTGGCCATCCCCTCTGGGGAGTGATTTCTCACTTTCTGTCTCTCTGTCTCTCTCTATCTGTCTGGTGAGCACACGCGCCCTATAGCAAAAACCTCTCAAAAAAAAAAAAAAAGACAGGAATATCTGTATCTCTCAGAGTCTTTAGTAGGGTCATTTGCACATCAATGAGTGCTCAATAAATATTTGTTAGGATGCATGAGTGGATAAGCACACAAATGTGGATATTTCATACTTCTAGAATTTTAAAGTGTATTTTATTTTTGGAGAGGTTTTTCGCTATAGGGCACGTGCACTCACTGGAAAGACAGAGAGACAGAGAGACAGAAAGCGAGAAATCACCCCCAGGGGGGATGGCCATCCCTTCTCCTCCATTCTGCTCTCGGGATCTTGGGCACGCACGCACACCCACCCGGCAGTTTAAGCCACCGAGTCCGGGACTCAAACCACAGACAACTACATGGGAGTTCTAGCAACATAGCCATTACACTAACTGTTGGTCCCAAGTGTATTTTTTCCAAGTACCTCTACATCTATTTTTTTATAATCCTATCACTGTCCAGTGCAATTGAAGGACATTAATATAAGCTATCTAATATCGAAGAGGAAGGTTAAAATAATCTCTCACTTTTTTTTTTGGAGAGGTTTTTGCTATAGGGCGCGTGCGCTCGCCAGACAGAGAGAGACAGGGAGACAGAAAGCGAGAAATCACTCCCCGGGGGGGATGGCCAAGCCGCAATCCCTTCTCCTCCATTCTCCTCTCGGGATCTTGGGCACGCACGCACACGCACCCGGCGTGAGTTTAAGCTACTGGGTCCAGGACTCGAACCATGGTCGACTACATGGGAGTCCAGCGACATAGCCATTATGCTAACTGCTGGTTCCCAATCCCTCACTTTTTAAAACATAATGGGTAATGTTTACATTTTATATCAGCTATGGCTTTAGTTTGGACTTTAGTTTATGACATATAATTGAAGACTATAGTTGTTTCACACACATGTTCTTGGCTCAAATTCAGTACTGAATCTTGGCCTCGCGTTTCTAAGCCTGCCTACTTACAGTCAGTTTCGTGGATTCAGTTACTGTGTGTGGAGGGTTTTTCTTTTCCACAGCTTTGGTCACCCTGGTGGTACCTTTAAAAGTAATAGATGCCACACATCCAAAACCATAAATAAATTGTATTCTAAGACACTTTTATGGTTATCTTCTACAATATCCTCTTTTGCTTCTAACTCCCTTAGAAGTCCTAAATTTGGTTATGGAAACAATGGCATTTTGTTTTTGTTTCTCACAGTTGAAATTAAGAGTCAGCAAACTGTTCTTTTTGGTAAAATGCCAGATGGAAGTTTTTTGACATTGTGCCCATGCCGTCTCTGTTGCAGACAGTGAGTGTTGGAAATAGAGGGCCGTGGCTGGAGCTGGCCACAGTTTGAGGCCACTGCTCTAAGGACACACCTTCGCGTACGGCGAGCTGAGCGGCGAGGACGTCAGCTGTCAACTACGGCACGTCACTCTAAGTGTACGTTGCGCCCGCCGCCTTACCTTCACAAAGTTGACCGTGGAATAGTAAACCCACGGGATACAGTTGGGATCAGAGGGCCCCGGACCGGATCTTTTAGGAATATCCCACCTGTAAGTGTTTATTTCTCCTGAAACAAATCAGAAGATATGGAAAGAACTTATTAGTGTTACTCTGTTCTGGATGATTTTCCTTAAGAAATGTAAGCAGGTCCACAGATATTTTGGTTGATGTATATCCCCGGGAAGAATTATTCCTCCATTAGAAACGGTCTTATTAAATGCACATCTTAATTTACACACTTCCAAAATGGGAGATCTGTCATTTCAGAGCCCAGTCTTTCCTCCAGTGTGTCTTTCTCTATTGCCAGTTGGAGCGTATTCAGGAAGCAGGGTGTGTGTTTTACCTCGCTGGTTCTCCTCTGCTGACTTCCCATCTCCCTCCCGAGAGCTGGCCTTGACCACACTGTAGTTATTGAGGGTCTCAGTCTCAGCCTCTCTTGGGAATCGCCAAGGATCTTTGTATGCCCATGCTGCTCAGACCCATGAAATCAGGATCTGGGGTCTGGGATCTGGACACTTGTATTCTTTGAAACCTTCTCAAATGGGCAGGTGAGGTTCAGTTAGAACCTCTCAGATGGGCAGGTGAGATCCAGTTAGAACCAGAGAGAATCAGAAAGCCCTAGTTCCAAATCTCAACCCCCTGACTTGCTACTTACCTAACATTTGACCAGCTGCTTAACTCGTTGATGACCTCATTTTCTTACCTGTGCAGTGTGTAGTCATCCTATTTTTCAGATCATCGTGAGGATTAAATGAAATAAGCAAATTAAGTCCAGGTAGTAGAGCCTCATGTGGAAGGCAGCCATGTATGATCATTAAGAAATGTTTATTAGGGACCAGCAGTTAGCGTAATGGCTATGTCGCTGGACTCCCATGTAGTCAACAGCGGTTCGCGTCCCGGACCTGGTGGCTTAAAACTCACACCGGGCGCATGTGCGTGCATGCCCCAGATCCCGAGAGGAGAATGGAGGAGAAGGGATTGTGGCGTGGCCATCTCCCCTGGGTGGTGATTTCTCACTTTCTGTCTCTGTTTCTCTCTGTCTTTCTGGCAAGTGCACACACTCTATAGCAAAAACCTCTCAAGGAAAAAAAAAAGGAAAAAAAAAAGAATTATTCCTTTTTATTTGTTATCATTATTAGTAGGTTTTAATTTGACCAGAGAGAGACAGAGAGAGAGAAAGGGAAAGTAAGAAAACAAACCACCAGGTCCAGGACTTGAACTTCAGTTGGCCATGAGAGAGTCCAGCACCTTAACCACTGCACTACCTACCTACCAGCCCCATGCATGTTCATTTTTATGTAGACTGATAACGCATATGTGAGCTCCCTATGGGCAGGCGCCATGTCTATGCACTCCCCCTGTGGCTGACCCAGAGCCTTACACAGAGGAGGCATCAATATACTCATATGAATGAGCAGAATAATTATTTTGTAAATGCCTCAAATAGAAGTCATGTTTAAATCATCTCCTTTTGAACTCTGTCTCAACTCTATCCCATCAGAACAGGAAACCCACAGTTGAATACATGCTCCACAAAACAAAACAAAAATCATCCTTCCTTACATGTAGCTTCACTCCATTTTTGCTAATAAATCAATAGATACAACACAACTTTAGGTCTAGTTTGCATTATGTTTCATTAGAGGCCCTAAGCCTGTTAATTGCAGGACAAACACTATTATTTAATATTTAGTGTCTTCAAAGCTAGTGGTGACAGGTATGGTGTTTACTAAAGGTGTAGCAATTCACTGTCTACCCCAGCAGCAAGCTCACCAGTGAGTATAAAGAAGGTGCCCCATGGCCAGTAGTTGGCATGGCAGTTAAGGCAGCTGGATCCTATACAGTCAACACCACAGTTCAAGTCCCAGACCAAGAGACATGAAAATCATGTAGGGCGCATGTGTGTGCCCAAAATTCCAGGAGAAGCGTAGAGAAGACAGATTGTGGTATAGCCATCCCTCCCTGGAGACGGGGACATGATTTCTCACTTCCTCTCTCTGTCCTCTGTCTCTCTCTGGTGAATACACGCACCCTATAGCAAAACAAAACAAGAGAATACCCTGGGATTAGCCCCTTAGTACAGCAGTTAAGTGCTGAGCACAGGGAACCAGACCTCACATGGCTGGTCACAGTTTCAGTCCTGAGTGGTGTGAAAATCATGCTGGGAGCACGTGCATGCCTGAAATCCTGACAGGATAAAGGAGTGGAGAATGAAGAACATGGTGAGGGCTGCCCTTGCTCGCTCGCTTTCCCACTCTGGGACCGTAGATGGCCTACCACTTTTGTCACTGGACTCCCACATGGACGACCACGGTTTGAATACTGGACCCAGTGGCTTCCAAATCACACCAGGTGCATGTGCATGTGTGCCCAAGGTCCAAGAGGAGAATGGAGACAAAGGGATTGCAGCGTGGTCATCCCCTGTGGGGGGTGATTTCTTACTTTGCCTCTCACTGTCTCTCTCTGTCTAAGGCTAAAACCTCTCAAAAAAAATTCCGAGGCCAGCGGTGGCATGGTGGTTGGGATGCTGGATTCCCACGTGGCCAACTACAGTTGAGTCTTGGACCGTCAGCTTGCTTTCTCACTTTCCCCCCTCCCTCTCCTGTCTTTCTCTCTGGTCAAATTAAATAATAATAATAATAATAATTTAAAAGTTAAATGAATAATTCTTTTTAAGAAATACATTATGAAGAGACTGGACAAGCATCAGAACCAGAGTGGGATATGGCAGGAACACTAGAAACGTCACACCAGGAATTCCTGTAAACTATGATTAATACGTCCAGAGTTCCGAGGCATAGTGCCTGACACAGGGCAGTAACCAATCCTTGTTACCCATTATTATTTCTTACTAGTCCTTGAGGTCCCTAATGGAGCCCCAGGAACTTCATAAACTCTGAACGAATGGTGATCTCATTACTAGGGGTGACCAGACGTTGGCCGAAATACATTCGCATTAAGATGATCTCTCTCTGTTCCCTCAGAGCTCAGAGAGGAGTCGCCGCTGGTGTCCTCATCGGGGTGGAGCGAATGCCTGCCGTTACTTGCCTGGCTCTGTGATGAGCGCTTGGAGCTGCTTCCCACTGTCCATGGCCTCCACACCGTGGGCCGAGATGGAGTAGGGCCGCGTGGCTTTGTTCTTAAATATGATCAGGACGGAGTCGCCTACCTCAGCATGAATCATTGGGCCTAAAATCAAAACACAGGCCTGTGTGCATCACTGCTGCTCTTTAAACACTGATATGGTTTAAACATAGGTAGCCTTTAGCCATATAAAGATTAAGTTCTTCATTAGTGTGCTTCCTTTACAGGGCAATACTGAGTACTATTGTGTTAAGCACCATGTAGTGTTTGGCACTGGGACCAAGTGGGTTTGACTCTTGCCGTCTCCTTATTAGAGGGGGCTTGGCTAAGCCACATAATCTGCCTGAGTCTCAACTTCCTCATCTGCAAAATGGGTATAGTAATATGTTTCTCACAGGGTGATAGTAGGGATTCAATAAAATATACAGAGTGCTTATCTTAGTGCACTGAGACACAGCAAGCACTCCACAATCGCTTAATGTTTTCCTATTGCTGAGAAATAACCTCCAGGGACCGCTGTATCCCTATCGGTGGTAACTTGGAGTTGGAATCTCCCTGTGCCTCACCCTTAGGAAGCCTGAACTTGCTCATGAGCTGGTAAATGGACAGAAAAATACTGAGGATCCAATAAAATAATATGTATAAAAGTGCTTGAAAAATAAAAGTGAACTAAATCCATTTATGTATTGATCCATGATTGAGTCAGTGGTTCAGCAAATGCATGGTTAGGCAAATGCACGGTTAACATTATTTTTTAGTACTTGGATACATTCATGTGTTGATTTATGTCCAATTAGTAGTTAGAGAAGACATGTGTAGCATTGTTCCTCAGTACTCAGATACACTTAGCCCTGATTTAAGATAGAATCAGTGGTTTGACAATGCACACATAACATTGGTTCTCAGTACTGGATACATTCATGTATAGATTTATGATTTAGTCAGTACAGAGTACATGTGTAACTTGTTTCTCAGCACTCAGATACATTTAGCCCTGATTTAAGATAGAATCAGAGGTTTGACAATGCACACATAACATTGTTTCTCAGTACTGGATACATTCATGTATAGATTTATGATTTAGTCAGTACAGAGTACATGTGTAACTTGTTTCTCAGCACTCAGATACATTTAGCCCTGATTTAAGATAGAATTGGTGGTTAGACAATGCACATAGAACATTGTTTCTCAGTACCCGGATACATTCCTGTATTGATTTATGATCAATCAGTGGTTTGATAGTACCATGTAACACTGTTTCTCTGCTCAGATACTGTGAGGAGGCAAGCTCTCAGCTTCTCTAGGGAACACCGCCTTGGAAGCAACCAGCCCAAGTGCCAAAGATAAGCCCACAGCTGCTGAGAAGAGCATGTGGCAAGCATGCTTTACCATCGGTGGTCTGACCGATGGATTTAAGGTGTTATTTTAATTGCTTTTTTGAGAAAGTCTCCAAAAGGTATACATAAATCTAAAATTTTTTTGGACTATTACTATCTTTGGAAGAAAAGATTTAGTGTGAATCAGTACATTTTTAAAAAGCACTCTTTTTTAAAAAAATGACAATTGTAGAAGGGAGAGGCCTATGTATATTGTCAAACAGTAAATCAGCCACAGTTACAGATTGGTGCATGTGTCTGCATATATTGAAATAATCATTTCTACGCCCATTAAATACACACACCTTGCTGTACAAGCACGCACAAGCAACCAAGCACCTGCCTTCTGATGTACAGTGTGACGTGTCATGGAAAACCTAAATGAACAGAGGTGTGCCTGCCCAGGGGCCCTTGGAGCAATCTCAGAAGCCTGGACCTGTCCCTAAACTGTAGAAAACAAGCGGATGGGCCCCACGCCCTGGTTAAAGTGCTTCTGGGCCTGTCTCTGATGAAGTCATTTATCTGTGTCATTTTACTGAGCAGAATCAAGCCATGATCCTTCAGGGGTACAACCTAACCCTCTCAGGAGGACCAGCATTGTGTCTCCCAAGCTCTGCCAACATGCAAATCTCCGAAGAGTGAGCTGTCCTCTCAGGGCTGACCCATTCCGGTGGCGACAAGCTCACTTGTCAATATTCGTAGACATGCAGGTGTGGGAGAGAGTGGAGAGAACACTTAGGAGCCTGTGCCTGACTTCAGTATTGAGGAAAGCACTGTGTAAAGCCCTACTGCTTAGTGAAGAAAGCTGTGCATTTAAAAGCAGAAAGAGATGTCCCAAAGTCCTCTAAGTTAGCCCTCTGCCTCATGGTCTTGTCGTCAAGGTGAGGTCAGGTTGGTGACTCTCGGGTGGGGAGTGGGGAAGGAAAGGCGGGAGAGCTCATGTGACCACCAGGTCGGGCGGCCTGAGCATCAGCCAGCCTCGAAGCTCAGGCGGGCCCAGTCGGGGCTAGGAAGGCCGTAGTCAGGGCCTCCTGCACTAGCGCCAGACCTGTCACCCTCGCACCCAGCTCACATCAGGCTCCTCTTTGCCAGGACTACGTCTGTGATGTGTTGATCGGCACTGTGCATTACCCAGACCTTGAAGTGGTGAGGGGAACACGCTCCCTGCTGTTCTGAGATATCAAGTTGTTCCAAGTGAAACTGGCTTGGCTCTGGGAGCCAGATGGTGGTGCAGCAGGAAAGCAGGGCTTCGGGGAATATCCCGGGTTGTGTCCAGACATCCCTGAGTATCTGGGCACGCTCGTGCCCATGACCAGGCTGACTGATGAGGGGATAGGGAACAGCATCAAGACCTTGTTGAAGGGGCTGTCTGTCTTTTTCTGGCTCTCGCTCATGAAAAATAACAAATACATAAACTTAAAAAAGGAATTTCCTGGCTCAGCAGAGGGGTGAGGAAAGAGCTTCAGGATGTCAGATGTCGGTTAGACTGCCCTGACGTCCGGGTTCCTGCTGTGTGTTATCTGGGAGTCTGATTACGACCATTGTTTACTGAGCTGAGCACCCAGCATGCTCCCTTATAATGGGAGGGCTGGAAGAGGCTGTGGAGGAGTGTGGGAATGTGGCCGAGCTGCTCTGGTCCTTCTGCCCCTTCATGGACACAAGTCCAATAGTACATGTGTGTCCATGTGTGTGAGTGTGTGTGTGTTTGTGTGTGTGTGCGTGCACACTTGGGGTGGATGGTGCACGGCTGAAACCTGTGCCATACCTAGCAGCGCTAAATGCTCCTCTCGTGGCGGTCGGGCTTTGATCTCCACAAATTCTCCGTCGGTGTATTCCCTGTAAACCACCTTCTTGTACTGAGAGCCGATCCAGTTTTCAGTGTGGTTCATAAATATATCGCCATGTCTGCAAATCAGAAGCATCAGAATTGAAAGTTGTCAGAAAGCAGAACAAGTCTGAGTGCTTTGGGAGTGCCGCCGAGTAATGCTCCCCAAGCCTGGCCACAATCATGCCTTCCCCAGGAAGCTGGCCTTCTGCGCTGCACTAGGAGTGGGACCGGGGTCTGCATTTAAAAGCTCCTTGGGTTCTGACATGAGCAGCCCAGCACTGGCCCGTGGCCACCTGTGGAAACGGTCACTCTGAACTCCTGCTGAGTGCTGGACGGGGTCAACCTGAGGGACTTTTAAGGGCCCTTTGAGGTTCTTCTCTTCCTCTTGGGATTAACTAACCTCACACACATGCATATATGTGATCACACACACATACACCTGCCCTTTGCTGCTTCGAATTCCTCCAAATTTTGTATGTATTATTCTGACTCTTGTTATGTTTTTCTGTTCTGAAAGATTTAAAGAAGGCCTACAGGTTGTGAACTGTACATCCCCATACACAGATATGTACACCAATGTATACCAATGCTATTCACCGTCGTTATGCTCCAGAAAGTTGTCATTGGTTGTGAACTGTACATCCCCATACACAGATACATACACCAATGTATACCAATGCTATTCACCGTAGTTATGCTCCAGAAAGTTGTCATATACACTGAATTAGCAAATACTGAAACCTTGTTCCTGGGAGAAAGAGAAGGTTAGAGTCCTGCAAACCTCTGGTCACATTATTTTCATCAGCAGGTCAATATATAACTTTGCTTTATGGGTGTTCCTGTTAAAAGGCGCCTTATCTAATGTATACGAGAGACCGGCCAGCCTCGGTGGCTCAGACAGCAGCGTGCCGTTCTGCAGGCTGGAAGCCACATGGCTGACCCGAAACACCCTGGGCACATGCGTCTAAAATCTGGACTCCTGGAGGGCTGGGGGAAGGGAATCCTGGCATGACAAGATGATTAAGGGCACCTCTGTCTCTCTCTCTCTAGCTCCCCATCTCTGTCTCTCATGAAAGAAATTAACATTAAGTCTCTAAATCTGAAATGCATGTATTTCACATATATGTCATGTAGCTTATATATGTACATATCCATACATGTACAGATATTTGAGGCACCTTCAAAGTGTTCTTAGAAAATGCATATTCTGAATAAATGCCACATGAACTACAAAATTAGTTGTGAGGCCAGGTGGTGAGACAGTGGTGATGGGCCTGGCCTGGACCCGCATGCGGCAGGTACTGGGCCTGCTGCCAGGACCGCCCGAGCACACTCGGCATGTGTGCATGCTCAAGATCCCAGCCAGCTGAGGGTGGGTCATGGTGTGAAGACCCTGTTAGGGGTCCCCCTCAACCCTATGGAAATAAATCTAGTTATTTATTTACTTGAAATATAATTTTTTGCACCAAAATAAACCTAGGTGTTTGTTTTGTTTTCTTTTGTTTTTACACACAGGGTGTGTACGCTTGCCACAGAGGGACAGAGAGAGGGAAAGTGGGAAATGATCCCCCAGGGTGACCACACAATTCCTTCTCCTTTCTCCTTATGGGCTTTTGGGCACACATGCACATGCACCCAGTGTATTTTTCTTTAAAGGAGGAGAAGGGATTGTGGCGTGGCCATCCCCCCTGGGGGGTGATTTCTCGCTTTCTGTCTCTCTGTCTCTCTCTGTCTTTCTGGTGAGCGCACGCGCCCTATAGCAAAAATCTCTCCAAAAAATTAATGACGGTGCTCTCTCCGCCACCTTGGAGCCTGTGGAGGCCTGCTGGGAACAGGACTTCTAAACTGCAGCTATGTCTGGAAGGCTGTGGTCCAAGGCCATTTTTGCTGGCTATAAGCGGGGTCTCAGGAACCAAAGGGAGCACACAGCGCTTCTTAAAATTGAAGGTGTTTATGCACGAGATGAAATGGAATTCTATTTAGGCAAGAGGTGTGCTTATGTTTACAAAGCCAAAAAACAACACAGTGACTCCTGGTGGCAAACCAAATAAAACCAGAGTAATGTGGGGAAAGGTTACCCATACCCATGGAAATAGTGGCATGGTTCAAGTCAAATTTTGAAGCAAGCTTCCAGCTCAGGTGTTTGGATGCAGAATCCGTGCGATGCTGCACCCCTCAAGGATTTAATATAATGAAAAGTAAATGAATAAAATTGGATTCGTGTTGTATTTTTAAAAAAGAATTATGTGTTTAATTTTATTTATTTATTTTATTATGATTATTATAAATAAAATTATAACTTTGTTATATATTTTTTAATTTGATGAAAGAGAGAGAGAGAGAAAGCAAGCCACAGGACTTAAACTGTGGGAGGCCAGAGCCTTAACTACAATGCCACCTGCTGGCCCCAACCCAGCATATTTTTTAGTCCACCAGGTCTAAGACTTGAACTGCACAATTGGCCATGTGGGATCCAGCATCTAACCACCATGCCACCTGCTGACCCCAATAAACTCAATTTTTTTTTAAAGAAGTTTTTGCTTTAAGGCTTGTGCGTTTACTGGAAAGAGACAGAGACAGTGAGAGGAGAAAGTGAGAAATCACCCCCCCCCCAGAGGGGATGCCATGCCACAGTCCCTTCTCCATTCTCCCCCTGGGATTGTGGGCACATATGCACATGCACCCAGTGTGAGTCTCAAGCTACCAGTTCCGGGACTCGAACCCCAGCTGGTCATGTGGAAGTCCAACAACATAACCACTATGCCACCTGCTGGCTCCCTATAAACTCAAATTTTAATTTGCTTTTTTTGCAAACTTCCTGAAGCGCCCTCAGATTGGTGATAAATTAATATGGAACATACAGCCTACAGCACTGAGTCATGCCTGAATGAAGCTTCTCTAAGGCACGGATCTTCTCCAAAAGACGCATCACAGCCACAGCCTTCTTGGGCTTGGGAACACTAATGGCACTTCACCACTACACTTGGGGGCCATTTCGAACAGCAAGATCACCAACGAAGAGCACAAAATGCAAACGCCATGGCACTAGAGAGACCAGAAAGACACTGGCGTACAGGATGAACGCTGAACAAGGAGGCAGAGGCACATCTTATTCGACCTCGGCCAAGAAAGTGTGCGTTAGGCAGTTCAAACTGCTCGCCCTCCCGCACCTCTCTGTAAATGCCCACAAAAGCACCATGAGAGTTGATCATGGCCTCACAAATTTGAGCAAGTAGGCTAACTTGCAAATGCAGAATCTGCAAATAATAAGAACAGCTGCACGTGTACATGTATGTTTAATCTATCACCAGAGTAGATCATCACGAAAGATAGATACAAATCTATCACTTCTCTTCCAAAACACAGTGAGTCTCACATCTTTCCATGTTCCTGCCTTAGCAGCTGCATTCTAATCTAAACCACCAGGATGGCTGCCCTGTGCGAACTGGAATTGTTCATCCTTCTCCTTCATGCTGCTCTCTACACGGTCGGCAGAGTGACCCTACTCGTTACCTTTGTCCAGGTTGCTCCTTTTCAGGGCTTCCCACTGCTGAACTCTTCAGTTTGGCTCTCAGGCCCCTTTGCCACCTCCCGAGCCTCCTTTCCCATGACTAGCTCCCATGTACCCACACCCGGTCATTCTAATCAATCATTCTCTTGGACATGAGGTACTCACCCTCATTCGCCTCCTGGATTTTATACATATTGTTCCCTCTGCTAAGAAACTGACCTACTCTACTTTCCAGCTCAAAGACAACTTCCTCCTGAAAACTTTCTCTGACCACCTACTCTCCCAGCTTTGCCCAAGATGGGGCTTCTGTCATGAGCTCCCTCACATTCCACACTTTCCCTCTCAGATTGCTTAACTTCATATGCTTCTTCTATACTGTTAATTTTTAAAGGTTTTTTTTTTATTGTTATCATTATTTAATTTGACCAGAGAGAGAGAGAAAGAGAGAGGTAAAGTGATAAAGCAAGCCACCAGGTCTGGGACTCAAACCACAGTTGGCCATGTGGGGAGTCCAGCACCTTAACAACCATGCCACTTGCTGGCCCCACTATTAATTTTGTTAAGCTTATTTATTTCTCCCACATAAGAGAGAGATACAGACACTCCCAACAGAGTCCTTACATTACAATCCTTTCCCCTATCCCCCCAGCATCAGCCAGCCAGGATCACAGGCACGCACCAGAACACCTGGTGTTGTCAGAGAGATTTTAGGACGTGAAGCTGAGACCTTCCTACGTGGCCCAGCACTGCAGAGCACTGAGTTATTGCTGCATCACTGCGGCCAGCCCCATATGCTTCTTCTAACATTTTCCTGTGGACTATAAACTCTGAGAGGGAGAGGGCTTGTCGATCATTCTCTGCACTGTTTCATCAGCACTTTGCACAATGCCTAGCATATAATAGTATTTTACAAATGCCTATATACGTCCCATCCTAGACTGTATGCCTTCCAAGGAAAGAGATCTTTTTTTCAGCCTTTATTTTCCAGGAGTCCCAGTAATGCATGTGGTGGTGACCAGTAGACCCTGGAGCCATGCTTTACTGCTTTCTAGTTTTCCTCCTTTACAAAATGGGGTGATAATGATGCACCTACCCCATGGAATCGGTGCGATGGTTATATGAGTCAATTTCTGTAAAATACGGTGTCAGGCACACATAAAGCACTATGTACATACTTGCTTTCTCATCACCTTGCGGGGACATTTCACAAAATCAGCAAAAACTGATGGAATGGGTCAAGTGTGTTGCGAGGGTCATATCAGGTAAGATTCGTACAACCCTAGCATAATGCCTGCTCCATAGGTGGAGGTTACTATGGAAAATCCCAGAGTGATTAATACACATTTCAGTCTAGAAACAGCTCAAGAGTACTAGAAATACAACTTAATTTTTCTGTAGCAGCTTAATTTCAGTTTTCATCAAGAGTACTGGAAATACAACTTAATTTTTTTCTAGCAGCTTAAATTCAGTTTTTAAATTCTCTCCTACTATGCAAAGTTCCCCCTGGCATTGTGCCAGGGTCTTGTTCTTTTTTATTCTCTACCCACCCCCCCAGATCCTGACACCTTCCCTAAATATTCTTAGGAAGCCCCACAGAAAACCTTCCAGGTCTTGAGGTGACACAAGGCCCAGGCTAACCAGAACAAAGGCTGTCTCAGGAAGAACTTGTACTGAGAAGCGATCCACTATAACCTTGGAGAAAAGGGCAGAGGCATAGAAACTAGGGTGCAGACAGGGCCTTTTTCCTGAGGCTTCTCTCTTCAGAGGTGCCCAGATGTGCCAGTGGGAGGACTTGTTATTTTACTTCTGTCCTGAGCTTTTATCTATAGAATTTGGTGTACTTTGAACATGTGAACATGTCCTTATCTCACTTTGCTCTTACTTATTTATGAGCAATAACCAAAGGGGCAAGAGAAGGATGCAACTAAGGTGCTTTATTCCCCTGTCTACCAGCAACCTCTACCTCTCTATGTCACCTGGGAGGGAGTCCTGGAAAACTAAAATTAGGACTTCCTGCCAGCCAGGGAGATGGGAGCTTAAAACAAGTTAAAATGAGTTGTAAGAAAATAATGAAAGTTATATTTCTTACAGGTTCATGGACTAAGACTGCACAAATGAGAAAATTATTATACCATTATTTCTCTAGTTATGGCAGCCTCTTAATGAAATAATCATTTTAGAAAAGGTCCAACTATTAATCATCTCATTTTCCACTGCACCAGCTCAGTCTTCAACTGGTACTGGCTGCACTAGTTTTGTACAAGAGTGGGGGGTCTTAACAAATAGGTTAGTTGAATAATTGAATGGATTTCAAATCCTCCTGTCCTTGAGGCAAATCTTTGAAAAATGGGAAGTCATTTTGCTTTTTATTTTTTATTTATCCATAAGGTGGCACTGTCATACTCTCTTTTCTGGGAATATGAATCCTCAACACGAAGGTCTGTAAGTCACAGAAGAAGCAAATGTGTTAAGATTAGCATGGAGAGGTAGGGGTGTGTGTGTGTGAGTCACATAGAGGATTCATAGGTGGTGGTAGGAGAGTATGGTGAGGAGGGGTTGGGGGTAAGTTGTAATAATTAGGCAGGACCTAGGACCTGAGAGACAACACGGAACACAGGAGAAAATACAGACCTGTTGTTCACGAGGTCTGTGCTCAATGTCAAAGACTAGTTGGACAATTGAACTCTTTATACCCAGTCCCCTCATCTGCTCACAGGACAATAATGCCCACGCCACTGGCTCCTGTGAAGCTGAGAGTGCTGACTTTGGGAGGGAGGACCGTAATCTGGACCTGGCTTCTTCCTCGTTTAGCTCTAGCCCAGAGCACCTGGGGTCTCGGTTGCTGGAATGTCTGACTTGGGTAGGGGACCAATTCTCCCAAGTCCACTCATGGCTTAAGCATTGCTATTCTTCAGCAACGCACTGTCCGAAGGCAATTTTGAGAATCTGTCAACTGTGCAGACGTTCTGGGTACAGGGCCTAATAGAGAGACCTGCTCTTCCTGTACCACCTTGGCAGTCTCTCCCAAGGCAATGGCCTCCTATCCCTCTTTGGTTACTCCCACCTGGATGACATGCCCCTGATAGCTCATGTCCGGTACCCCTTCCTGTGGTCCTCATTCTAGAGGCATCCATCCTCTCCACCTGAATGGATACACCCTCTGCCTCCTTTTGTCTTCCCAATCCCACTCTTCTTGTCTCTCTCAAAGACACATCCGTCCATGCAACAACCACACAGTAGGACAGCCCCTGCTAGGGAGGTAGCAATTAATAACTTTGAAGATGGGCAGCTTCCCTAACCTTCTGTGCACCTAAGTAGCCATCTCTGTCTGTTGGAACTGTGTGAACAAAACCAGGGCTTGTTAGGTTTCCATATTCGATAAACGCCTACAGAGCATGCGCACTCCCACCGAAGAGACTTGGCGGCTTCGCCTGTGGTACCTTTCCCCTCCAGCGTCCAAGTGCTGCTTTTCGAACTCCCAGTTTTTGTTAGGGGCATAATCCCATTCTACCTCTTCAGCAGCGATGTAAAAGGTTCTTATCATCCCGTATGGCTGCTCAGAGGGGTCCGTGTTGCCGCAGCTGTTGACCTCATAGATCTGATTCATGCCTCTGGTGAAGTGGTGCATGGTAGAACAGAACACCCTGAAAATACCTGGAAGAGAAATGGTTTGGATTGTGTGCAGAGCTCGGTTTATTATTAGTGGTGATGGGCAGGGGATGGGGGGTTGGCCTGTTTTTTTACCATATCTATATGTTTTATTCCAAAATAAATAACCAGCAAAGTGGATTTTTAAAATACCAACTTTTAAGATCAGATACCAAAGAGAATGAGTTACTTTGATTTTATTGAACTTGCAGCATTTCTATCAAGAAATTATTTCTGGGGAACCAGCAGTTAGCGTAATGGCTATGTCGCTGGACTCCCACGTAGTTGACTGCGGTTTGTGTCCCGGACCCGGTGGCTTAAAACTCAAGTCGGGCACATGTGCATGTGTGCCCAAGATCCCAAGAGGAGAATGGAGGAGAAGGGATTGCAGCGTGACCATCCCCCCGGGGGGTGATTTCTC